CTTGAAGATCCATATTTGATCTGAGACTGATACTAGGGTCCCTAGGATGTATATACATCCCTGTGATTATAACAGTTTAAAATAAGAATAACACACCAAGCGTTGGTACAGGATGAGATTTTGAGAGACCCTAGGCCCTTACACACTCTGTCACAGCCTCTGAGTACTACGTATGTGCAACACGTAGATCAGCCAGCCACCTGCTACACATCAAGTTCTTTCCGTAACTCTTGCATTCTGCCTCCAGGCAGAAAGAAACTCTGAATATGTTGCCTTTGTGGCCACACTATTTCACAATTTATCTAACAAAGAAATGAAGTACTGTCCATGAAATCTTTCTGGGCTTTTTTCCTTTCATGAATGGCTATAATACCTGTTTTTCTATTCTTACCTCATGAGCATGAGGTACACAGCCAGAAACTAAGGGTTTGGGAAATTGCTGAACACAAAGCGATCTGGAAAATCTGAGTTTGCTATCCGTTAATGGAGCCAAGATTTCACTGCGGTTATAGCAGCATAGTTCTGGGACGTTTAAATTCTGTGTATGCTGTTGGAAGGAGCGTGCACTAGAAGAGCCACAGCAAAGTTCTTCTTGTAAAGAGTCTCTTCTCCTAAAAGAAAAGAGGAACTTTAAAGCTTCAGGATTGCAACTGTAGGGCTGAGGTAGAAAATTTGGGTCTGGATCTGTGTTTTCCAAGAATACTGAAGTGGCTGTTTCTGCAGAACAGAGAGGTTATTGGAGCGGATTTCAAATGAATACACTGCTATATTTGTGCATTCTGTGACCTGCTCTTGAAAGCAGATGTCTAATGTATAAACTCCTATGTATGATATAGTGGTTTTAAGTCAAAAAGTTAAGCATTAATGTCTCTGAATGCATCCTGACAATCAGATAGTCAGATTTGATTCTTGCAACTCTTCTGAACAGAAAATAACACATGATTTAAAAACCAAAATGGCTGGACCTCCTTGACTTGTAAAGAGAATATGGGGTCTGGCATTCCTCCATTGAGAGGGCTGACAAAGTAAGGGTAGTCTTTCCCGATAAAAGTCTGTCTCCAAGCACTGCAAGGGAAGCCTGGCTTTGATCTCTGCATTGTCTTTAAATGCAAGACATTAAAAGGCCCACAGTACCGGCAAGTAACAAACAACTGCAGTTGTCCCAGCTGGGGGTTCATGCTCAGAAGGCTGCAGATTAGAGCACAGCTCAGCACCAGCTGCTTTGCAGCTTATGCCCCATGCTGTGTGTTAAGAACGTGTCAGGAAATAAACGCTTCAGGCTACTTATTAGGAGAAACCCCTACCTGCTTTAATACTATTGGCACTAGAAACTTAAACAGAAATCTTTCAGGACTAGGAAAAATCTCTCCTGTTAGAACTGTGCTTTCTAGCAATATGGCATTACTGGCAATGTGTTGAGATTTAAGTTTCTGAGTGCAGGCTGTGCTCTGTACATAAATAGATCAGTCCTTAAATGCTCATGAAAACCAGGCTGGAAGTGACTTTGAGGCCTGACAGTTACCCATCTCTAACCTATCTCTATAGCACCTTCACTGTGAAAGATAATACGCAGTGTTGCAAAATCCAAGGCTTTTGCTGCAAGAACTGCAGCAGTTTAGTTGGATGTCTTAACATAACAGCTTATATTGGATGGATGATACATGGTCAGATTACACAGTCCTGATAAAGGGTAGGACTTTGCTCTGTGACCAGTCTCGTAAGCATCTCGTAAGCAGAACTGCTGTGCATGAGGTCACAGTCAGCACCTGTTACTCTGATAACCACACTGTGACACAAATATCACAAAATAGTCCCTGGGACATGGACTGAGGATAGCTGGATGGGATGGGGAGGAAAATCTGCCCATGAAAGAGCATTGTATTTCTGCAAGGACACAGATCAAGAATACCCCTGAGGGACAAAAGCCCTGAGCACTCTCACCTCCCTCTCATTTTGCTCTAGTCAGAAAGGACCAGCTATGGTTCAGCACTTCAGGGGGACAAATCACACACTCTGGTTCTGGTTTCCTATCTGCTTTCTGAACAATGCAATCATCCCTGAATAGAGGTGAGAAAACTTATAATGGACTAGGCCTGACTAAAATTCCCAGTTTTAAGTTAAAGGCTTTTTAACGATCAGCTTGTATGACTGTAAAAATTCTATTCATGACAACAACAAAAATTTAACCAAAACAACACGAAATTGTCCTGAATACATTTCATGTGTGTCACTTTTACGTGGTTTCTTAAAAGAAGCAGAACCCCACTGTAGCACTATGACAAACGCTACTCTAAAAATAAATGTATCTTAGAAAGCTTCTCCAAATGGCCGTTATCACTGCCTTTCTTCAAATGCTAATATATGCCCTGTCACCCATACTGTGTGACCAAGCACTAGGACCAGGCTTTAGCCCCAGAAACAGACCTCTAATACAACTGCAAGCATTATTTGGAGGATAACACTGGGAGAGAAGTGAAATTTTAATCCACAGATGTTATAATGGTAGTAATGGCAGAAAAACAGTCTCACCCCCAGGTCATGTTTTGGAATCAGACCCAAAGCTGTGGTATTCTGAGGTCAAATTCAAACCCAGAACAAGCAGAAGTTGCTGTATGAAAAGCAGCATAATTATTCCTATTTGTTCCAGGATCAGCTCTTGTCCTACAAGTTCTCGCAACTGTCAGAAGAGACCGCGTGAGCTGAATGAAAATACAGCCTCAATAGTTCTCTGGTCAGAGCAGGGTATCTACATAAAAAGCTTGAGGCACTGCTGCTGTCATGCTGTCTTTGTTTGATCAAGTAAGCAGTGGATTTTCACTGGCAAAACTATAGTGTATGAAAAAAGTTCACTCTGTTAAAAAAAAGAAGGTTCATTTTTAAATGGCCAAATGTACCCATTTCCATCAATACAACAACATTTTTTTAACTTCAGAATCCCATATGTTTAGTAGAAAATCTTAGTGGATATGGTAGATTAGCCTAGAAATATTGTCTAAACTTCTTGTATTTTTAGCACAAAATCTCATCTCAGTGAAATTAGCAGAGTAAGGATGCTGCCAGTAAATACCATGTTTTTAACATCCACTTTTTGTGTCTCTCTCTATACTCTGGGTAATTTTCACTCCCACTGAACTCTGCTTTAATACAAACATTCGATAGTTTTAAACAGTAAGAATGGAATATAGCATATGACTGAGAACTGTTTGGCTGTGCCTCATGTTATATATTTATCATTTTATTTGTCACTGCAGTTTACTGTCTTGCCCTGTAAAAACCCATATAACTTTTGACAGAGAACATCTAATCCTAGAAAAAAATGAAAAAACTTGACCTCTTCCTATATATATTTACCAACCTGTACAAAACTAGTTTCCCAGGGGACTACCCTTGTCTATCTTAGGCAAGGCAAAGGATTGCTCAAAACCCTGGCTAACGAAGTGTTCGGACTACCTAGTAGTCCGTTTTTACTGGCAAGCCTCATCTTCAGTGATGCTGAGTACCCACTGTAACAGGCTGAGACCCTCACCTGCTTCCCCTGGGAACCGAAAGCAATTAAAGACCCTGTTCTACATCAGGTACAGCAACACTGTTTTAGCCATTGACTTCAGAGGTCATGAAATAAGACTCCCTAGTGTCACCAAAGAGCTGCTCAGTACACTGTAGAATAAGGCCCTGTAGTGACTAAGCTTGCAGGAGATGATCTGTGTGACAACCACAGCACAATTCTATGTGGGAATGGGACTTGAAGGAGTTTCCTCTATATGGTCCATTTCTATGAAATTCCCTTGCTCAGTGGATGAAATGTGGGCCCCACAGAGTACGCAGGTTTGTTTTTTCCCACATTACTTTTGCTGCACAACAGAGCAGCAAACCTGCCTGTAGCCATCTGTTAAGAGGCTTTACTTGAATCCGACTAGCTTGTATTTGTTTTATTTATCCCAATGGCATCCTGATGCCCCACGAAAGCCTGGCTACAGCATATAAATAGCATCTCATTGGGTGTGACAGAGTGAAACCAAACTGTCCTACGTGAAAAATTGTTTCATCCTTTCAGCAATTTCTTTAGAGATTGGTTGTCTGTAATAATTTGATGCAAGTTTCCAAACAAGTGAGCCCCCTGAGTGCATGAAGTTTTCCTTCACTTTCCAAGCATTTCCAAAGGCAACAAAGAATAGTTCATTACAGCGGAAAAGTCCACATTACTTTTTACACAACGTTTCAGGTTACTGCAAGAGAAAGGCAGATCTTCTTTTTTCCTACTCAGATAATTCAATATATTTGTCTAGTGCAAATTATGGTTGATTAAAAATAGCGGAAGTGAGAACAGTTACTAAGACTTCCACCACAGAGGAGCTTTTCAGACTTTGACAGTTCAGTTACTGAAACTGGAGGACTTTCTGAGACTCTGGCAAATTACTCCATGCTTTAGTAACTATTATCCTAAGAGTTTAACCCTTAGAGTAGCCATTTCGATTACACTTTATATTATACAGCATCTCCAGTCTTGTCTACACAGTAGCTGCCAGATACAGTTTTATATACTGCATGTAACATGTAATTTATTGTTGGATAAAGCAGGTGGGATTTGTGTTTCTGTGCATGAACCCCAGGCTCAGGCTTTGAATGGTTAATTCTCATTACTTACTTTACGTTTCTATTACTCTATATACTTACTTCATGTTTCTCTTACTATATACCCACGAGCAGTGAACTAAAATGCCTGTCAGCCAGGTCTTCTGTTCTCTCCACCTGGTAGAGCATGGCTTTGAGACCACTGAGAAAAGGACTGTAACCATTCATAAGACACAGAGAAACACTAGGTATTTTTAAAAAGACACATGAGGATGACATTTCCAGAAAAGTCAGATCCAGCTCTGAATACAACCCATAGGAGTCTTTTTTCTAAGTGACAGTAGAGGTACTGGAATATATTTTTAAGATCCAGAGTCCACTGACATCTGCTCCTAGTCTTTGCAAGAACTGTGTCATGATCGTGTTGCAATCCCCTTGTCAAGTGTGCCTATAAAATACAAAAATGTTAGAAACGCTCCAGTGAATTCAGCACTAGTGGGGAATGAAGCTACAGCCTGTACCTTTCATGCTATTGACGATGGATTAGCCTTTGAAAACTCTCCTGAGCCTATTCAGCTCCTAGGAGATGTCAGGAGAAGAGCCCACAGAGTCAGTACATGGATTACCTAAAACAGAGGAAAGTAAAATCCTATCAGGAAGAAATGTGGAGACAAATCACCTTGTCACTCCCAAACATCAGCCAGCTGATGGAGTGCATGCTGGCATCTCTCAATCCCTCCCAAAACAAAGTGACACTTTTCTTAAGACCCACTCACCCACAGAGAACCACATTCTTTTCTACTTTTGACTCAGCTCTTGATCTTAGCCGACAGCCAGTGCTGCCCCTCCCGTCAATGTATTTAAGGGCTTGGACAAAATATGCAGCATTAAAGCAAAAGCAATGGAAAGGGAGAAAATAAAATCACAAAATGGATTTTTTTTTTTTCTAAAATGAAGAATTGAATTCTTTAACCTTTAAACATGCTTGTTTACTTACAGAAAGAGTATTTCAGGCACAAAAGGTTTGAGCATCAGTCACATACCAGGTTAAATTGTAATAGTATCAAGATTGTCCCATGCAGTGCAGTCAGCTATATTTTCCCCTATCAATAGCTGGGAGTTGTAGTTTTTGTATAAATACATACATACATAGAAAATATGCATCATTCACACTATGGTCTCGTGGTCTGAGCTGACTCCAGTAGGGTTTATGTAACAACAGTATCTGTCATAAGCGCTGTTCTCCTTGTATGAGCAGACAATGATGCTGTCTTTAGGAGCAACAAAAATGTTATCTTCAATGTCCGGGCAGGCAGCGCTGTTCCTGGTGGGAGAAGAGCATGTCTTCTCCAAGGCACTGTACGTGGATCCATCTCCCACGAACACATTCCCTGGCATCTCCGGGTAACAGGTCTCCAGGTATCTCAATATCTTCTCCTGTTCCCCCTTTCTAATCAGACTCTTGCACTCGCCTGTCGTGGTGGTGGTGGTGGTGGTGGTGGTGCAGATGGACACGGAGTCGTCACCCCGCAGCACCTTCTTGTCCTTCAGGTATGTCTTCTTGGCCAGCTCGTCGCAGCTCCCCTTGCCAGACTCCAGGTCCGAGGGGGTTCTCAGCAGCTCCATGACATCCCGGTCCTTGGCTTGCTTGCAGCACGGACACTTATTCTTGGGCCATTTCGTACAACCGTCGGTTTTTCTGGTGAGGGCAATGGCAGCTATGCCCGGTAGGCAGATGGCTGGCCCGATGGCCAGGAGGGGGATGTCCCCCAGGGTCTCTCCCTTGATCCCGGACACGGTGAACATGAAGCCGAACACCAGGAACACGCTGACCAGAGCCACCACCAGCCCCGTCCGGGGGTTGATGTCATCAGGTCTCATGGTCCGCACCATCCTGCCGGTGTGTAAGGGACCCCCTCTTCGCCACGTCCTCCGAACCA